CCGGCCCCCTCCTTTTCCGCCCCCCCCCCCCCATTTCCTTCACGCCAATTGATTACACAGGAGTGGGCCACAACCGGAGCGAATTCAGTTTATGTATATCACGGGGGCGCCATCATGCCTCCCATGGACGATTGAAAAAATCCTTGCACCCATTAAGTAGTCTAACAGTAACAGTGAAAACCGGTATACTTCAATATGAACACATTGATTTTGAAAAAAAATCAAATATTTTCTGGGAGGGTCTCTCCAAACCTTCCCTTCTGGTCAAGACCCATCGGCACCCTTGCTTTCTGCCCTACTTCCTGATAAAAATGACAGTAAGCTGACCCTGGTCGCCAATTACGGTGTTGATAGGTAAGCTGCCTAATAGCGTAGTTAGCCTTAATAACGCCCTGGGGGCGGAGACTTTTGCTCTGCTCCCTTTCACTATACAAACTCTGCAGTTGTCCCAAAAGTGCCACCCCACCACAAAAAGAAAAAGGAACATATGAATTATATGACAAATGGATGGACCACATCATCCGCCTCCTTTCTAAGCAAATGGCATTGGCGTAGCTGGCTATAGTGTCTAGCGTCAGGAGACAAGATTCATTTTTAACCCCATCCCCCAAACTCTGAAACTCATTATTTTCATCCATTAAAAACCAGCAAAACTCTCTTAGCGCCCCCACTAGTCTGGCGCCAATGAACGCCTGCCCCATCTATTCTTCCCACGCAAAATAATCGCCTGGAACCACCTGGACAATGCCGCTGTGGGCTCGACATCAGTCGAAAGCTTCAAGGCTGCCCTGGCATCTGCTAGGAGCTATTAGAATAACAACATCGCTTCCTCAACCGTTGCACAGATACCAGTATATGGATGCAGCAATGAACACTACCAGAACAAGAATCCCCCTTAGCTACGCCTCTGGCCGCTTCCCACCCGACATTTTGAACACCCCCCCCCCCCTTCCTTTTTCGACCGGAGGAAAGGAAATTGTCAAGAAGAAACAAGGGCTTTTAGGTGAGTTGAAAACAATGAAATACTGTTGAATGCTCTCAACCGTTGCCCAGATACCAGTATATGGATGCAGCAATGAACCCTACCAGAACAAGAATCCCCCTTAGCTACGCCTCTGGCCGCTTCCCACCCGACATTTTGAACCCCCCCCCCCCCCTTCCTTTTTCGACCGGAGGAAAGGAAATTGTCAAGAAGAAACAAGGGCTTTTAGGTGAGTTGAAAACAATGAAATACTGTTGAATGCGTACCCCGCTTTTGTTTCTTACAAATATAAATTATGTCATATAATCATATATCGAGAATTAGACCTCAAAAAAAGGGGGAGGCAAGAGTATGTGAAGTAAGTTACCAGAACTCTTGCTGTTTTTGTGTGTTTTTTTCACACAATATTTTTTCTACACATTTTCTTTTTAAAGACAGATAGATGTAAGCATATTGATGAAGAGATTTTCACTTACAAAGAAAAGGCTATAGAGATAACAGTTTTAAGTTTTATAATTTGCTAAATTTATTTTCTCTACTTGACAATGTCAAGTCCAAGTTTTTTTTATTATGTTATTGTGCCAACAGGTGGCGTTGTGACAGTTGTGCATAGCAATGGCGACCAACCATCCCACTGATGAAGTGGTAACAGAGGAGGATAAACCGAAATCCAAACGCCCTAAAGGTGCTAATTTTAAATAAAATACGTAACAAAGTTCTTAATAAGCTTTGGTATAATCTTACCTATTCTTGTTAAAGTTGATGACCCAGTTCTTTTCTCAAAAGCTATGGTATTTCCTGGTGTTCTGAAACTGAGAAGAATACTATTATTATTATTATTACAATTCAGAATACTTAACTTCACTATCAGGAATAATTATTAATAATAAAATTAAAATACTACCTCAAAATCAATGTCATAATGTTAAGGACGGCTGCCACTGCGTCTTTTGGTTGTTTATTATAGTTGCAGTGAATTAGGGTTTAGGGATTGATTTAGGGTTCAGGCCGGCTAGGCATAGAGGGATCGGGTTAAGTTAAGGTTAGGCATGGCATAGGTATCAATTTAGGGATACATTCGTGAAATTCGATAAAATAGTGGCAGTCGTCCTTAACATTTACCCATAATTGATAGTAAAAAGAAGCATGATAGTAATGGGCGTAAGGGAAGTTAAACTTCAGGGTTAGGCCACCACTTCTTATCAAATGTGAAATGGGTTGAAAGGCAAATATTTGCAATATTATTTGCTTTTTTACAAATAGCCTATATTATATATTTTTTATTGGCAATCCTCCCAAGTCGGTCCCAAATTATTTGGTATGAAAAAAATTGCAATGCACAGTGTGGATTAGCGTTGTTAGAAAACAGCTGAAATGTTAGTCATACTACATAGCTTTTGAAAATAACTGTCACTTTACAAACCAGACAGTAAATACTAAATATTGTAATTGGCACATCATAGCATTTGCAAATAGCAGCCAACAACGTTATGCTTGTGACTAATGCGCTCCTGAAAGGCCCCCAAGTAGCTGGTACCGCGACTAGTACCACCCTGCTAACGGCGTTTACGTTTCGCTTGCATCCAAAGTCCTTCAATGGTTTATGTGTGAATGTCCTGGTCTACTGGATCAACAATTCACACACGTGCACAATGACAGCTTGAGCATACATCCCGTTGTTGAGCTGACCGACATTTTGATATCCTCGCCAAGCGTCCGTGATGATAGTTTTCCCTGGTAACACATACTTAGTGATAATGTGCTCGAGTGTTTGTGCATCTCGACGGCCAACAACCTCCATCCAATATCCTCCACTAATGCAAACATGAATTTCAAAGCAGAATGATGCCTAAGACTAAGACTTTTAAGTAAGGAGTAATCATTGAAAATAATTTTGGACCGAAGTTCAGAGGATTGACGCCTATTTAGGCCTATGTTTTTATGTCTCAGTTAGTTAGATTTAGTTTAGATAAGTAGTATGAATTTATACCTGAACTTAGTGTCCACAGTACAGTATGTACTTTGATAACAAAAATTAAAACTTTTTTTAAAAATAAACCAATGGCACAGTTGAATAGAGCTAATTTTTTAAAGAATTATAACACAAAAAATCAAATTTTTACCTGTTGTAGTTTTTAAGTTATGAATTTTTAAAGTACGACTTCATTTGTCCTTTTTTAACATGGACCGCATCTCAAGATTCTGTCACCCAATTCCGCTGTTTGTGTCACGAGCTATATAACTGTTGTTTTAATGATCATTTTATTTTCAAAACTCATGCTGTATTTAAAAATAATTTTAATAATGTTAAAAATTAAAGATAAATTGTAGCTTATCTAACTATGCACTATTTTTATATTTATATCAGTAAATTTAATATAATGTATTAATATATGGCTTTTCTGTTTACCTAATATAGGACATCCATTATATTATACCCATATATGCTATATAGTCTATATAAGGCAACTCATGCCTTAATTACTAAAATACTGTTTCGGAACTACTTATTTTGAACTTTGGCACATGACTAATTAATTAAAGCTTTCCCTGGCCTGGTTAAATAGTTTTTGCACACGGCAAACTTTTATGAATGAAAACTCTTAGATAGTATTACAGTATACCCATTATGCAAGTCACTGAATGGCCGCCATGACATTTTGCACACGGCAAATTATGATCATTTATAATATGGACTCTGCAGGGTTTTTTAACTTCAAATGAAAATATTATTCTTTCAATATCATTAATGTTCATTCTAAAACATAAGTTATCAAATATTTTGATGTAAATAGTGGAAATAATTAAATATTTCATAAGTAACGGCGTCTTCCGCCAATGAAAGGAGGCGTGGCCATTTCCTTTTCGAAATTGGGCTGAGCTACATTACCATGTAGATGTTTACTCAAATGAGCATGACAAGTGGCCGACATGTCCTAACTCAATGAGAATTGACACAAATATGCATTGATAGATAATACAGAGTAAGACTTAATATGAAAGACATAAAAGTTGAACTTCTATACAGATTTTTTAGTGAAAGATGCCTTATATTTAAAGGTGTATTATAAAATACAGGTTGATTGAAAAATCCAAACAAATCAATGTAAATGTCTACCAAAATGTAAGGCCGGAAACAGAACTCAAATATATGTCGAAAGTACTAATTTAATAATAAATAGACTCACACATCGGAAAATTAAAAACTCTGAAAAGTAGAAGTCTCCCTTGCTTCATCGAAGTACCTACAGTTGTTCGTCTGTCAAAATCGACTAGGACCATCAAGTCATCCGGTTGGGGGATTACGGTGAGCTCGTAGGTGGCTTGCTAGACAGATCCATGCTCGGAATAATCTATGGCATCGCGGGCAGGGGATAGTTGCTGCAGACGGTGAGCTAATGTTGCTTTTTCGGGCCAGCCTGTGTGTCTCAGCTGTGGTTATCCTATTAGCTTCATGGGATTTAGCCCTCTTCTTGACATTTGCTCTCCACCGGGCTCTGTCCTGGGCTGTCTGCACCCATTGAGTAGGGTTGATGCTGAAGGCCTTTAGTGCCGCTTTCAACGCTTGTCTTTGTAACGCTTTTTTTAACAGTACAGTTAAGAGGACAGCACTGCCAGCTAAGGCTTACCATTAAAAATTAAACATAATGATTTTAATTACTGAAATCCGTACCGATGGCAGTATCCTGTCACTAGAATTAATCGGAAAAGCATCATGATTCGTTATAAGTTATGTTCATGAGCATGTGTGTTGATGACTTGGTATTTGTTGGGGAAATGAAATACTAGGCCAAGGCCATATTCATTAGTCTCCTCCTCTTAGGAAATTGTGTTTTTATTCAGAAATAATTGAAATAAAATATTTCTGGATAAAATTATTATATTATTAGGCAGATCAATTTGTTATAACACCCTTATTAACAGCAACCTCTCTTCCAATCTAAATCATGTCTAATGTGACTAATTAATGGCATGCCTTAATGATGAAGACTTCAGAAAATCGATTGACGGATACCACTTAGTCAAGTTTGTTTATTTAGTGAAGTACCTATCAGAGTGACTAAGCTTTTTAATCAAATCACTTTAGGGGAGGTCTATAAATAACATCAAAAGGGTTGCGCGCATGTTCTGTTCTGGTCAAGTCTTTGTGAGGATGTGTTAATAGTGTACTTGTATCTATCTTTTATGACAAATTTGTGAATATGGGGGCAGTCAAAAATTGTCCAACATATTGTGACATCATTTATGGTCCCTTGTGATTATAAATGCCATGTATGTTGTTGTCATAATATTAGCATTGTTAAAAAATGATTTAAACAATAATTTTTTAAGGATTATTGATATTTTTAACATTAGAAATTATGCTAAGCATTTTAATGAAAGCAGGTGCTAAATGATACAGGCTTTAGTTTAGGGAGCAACTTTTAGAGGAAATGTCCATTGATTTTTGCTAGAAATTTGTAATTTTATAACTAGTTATCTATTGGCTTTGATGCTTAACATATATGACTCTTCAACACTAAAGATAAGTGAAAACTGGGCAGAATGAATTAATTTTATAATGTGTGAAAAGGGTAAAGATACCTGATCCTTATAAATGAAATGAGTGGAATCTCAGTGTAACTATACAGAAAAATGACATTGAAAAATGGATTAAAACACAACCTATATAAATTAAACATTCTGATCTCTCAGCACAATGATGATTTCAAATTTTGATATTAGTCTCCTTTATGTATCGAAGTACTGCAATGATAAATATTAACACTAAAACACTTACAACCAATCATAGTGAACTTAGCTTTCTTCTCTTTTGTCCCTACACATTCCTTGTTTTGTTGCGTCCTTTTATTACAGGTTTTCCCACACTTTTGTTTCGCTCATTTCCTTTTTGTCTAATCTGATGACAGTCTCCCCCTTATTACCAGAAACTACACAACAGTTTTGCTATACACCCATACAACATTATAACTGTGTATAAAGTTTTCTAAATGACAGTGTTTACACAGTCATTCTTCATAAATAACATTCAAATGATAATTTAAAATTTAACATTTTATTTATTTGACTGATAATTATTCTTTTCTTCACATAAAATCCAATAAAAGAAATTTATAAGTAATCAGACATTTATTATAAAACAATCACAGTTGAAATAATTCTTATTGTTCTTTTGTTTTGGCAGAGACCAAGTTTAAGCAGCAAAACCTTCCAGCATGGCAACCTATTTTAACAGCCAGCACAGTGCTTCCAGCATTCTTTGCCATAGGACTGGCTTTCATACCTTTAGGTGTAGCACTGCTAATAACGTCCAACAATGTAAGCATCATAACTTTTTGTAAGATATGATTATAGTTTATTCTTATTTGTTTAAGCTCAGTATGAATCTAAAATGTAATGATTATACTGGCGATGATTTAAAAAATAATAATATATTTTTATATATTTTTATGTGTAGGTTACTGATTTACAGGTTTTATTTTATTTTCAGGGTGTTTTATGAACTAAGACTTAAGACTTGATAAATCATATTTTATTTGTAATAACAATTGTAATTTTTTGTTTATCTGTAGGTAAAAGAACTGACCATAGACTATACCAACTGCAAAATGTTAGACTCTGATTCAACCTGTGCTGAATTTTTTAAAAATATAAGCAACACTGGTCAGACATGTCATTGCACATATGATAATGTGACTTTGTCATCTTTGTTTGATGTAAGTGTCTTGTGTTTTATGTGGCATGTTAAATCCGTAAGCAATTGAAGCTAAATACTAATATATTTGAGTTATTAATTGCAAGATTTTTGTTAAGATATTAATAAATATAATTCAGCTTGTTTTGTTTTTTTCCAAGTTTGCAATGCCTGAAAGTTAAAGTACGTTGCTATAGTGCAGCATATGTTGATCCAATGTCACTTCATTGTAGAGCTTTTTTTTAGCCGCCACCACCACCACTTATCTCCCCTTTGTGTTGTTTTTCTTTGATGTCACTGAGTAAATGTGCTGTGTCACTCCTTACTCACCCCTACCTTGAATGGGAAAAGGTTGTTTACATTCCAATGCATTCTTTTTGTTCTAAAGAATGCTATTAGGTGACACGATTTCTAGAATTTCTTTACGAGGTGGTCCTGATTTAATCACTATATATAGGTATTTGTATTTTTCGAGGAGTGTGCCTTCTCACTAGCTGTACTTTAAGTTGATACAGAATTTTTTTTAAAAATTGCACATTGTTAGTATCTCTAGCTTTGGTTTCATTTTGCTTTGTATACTGGTTTTCAGTCCATTGTTTGTTTGTTTTTGATTCTATGAGCCAAAACTTAAAATAGAATAAATTTTCAAAACTATACTATAATGGTATGTAACAGTATCAGCAAATGAGTTTTAAATTTCTGCAATTTGTGGCATAAAGCTATCTTTAATTTATTGGGTGACAGATGCCCCAAAGCAATTTTTAACAATTTATCTTAATTTTGTAAAGATAAATACACTTAATAAAAATTGTGCATTTTATAGGGGTGTGCCGGAATCCGGTTCCGCCGGATTTTGCACTATCCGGTGAAATCCGGTTCCGCTGTATTTACATGTATCTGGAACATCCGGAATATACCGGATTTCGGAATTTGCCAGATTTTGTGACTCACCGGATCATAATCTGAAATAAAAGTAATTCTCTTTCCCGAATTCCACACGATCACGATACATTAATCGATTGTTTCGAGCGTTGAGCTTGTTTAATGTTTAATATTCCGAACATACCAGAGGCTAGAGTCAGCACCGCTAATAGTGGCCAATCGGCCCAATCCCATACATGATAGTGCGGGGATGAGTAATTATCATTCGTGACGTCATCTTAACCGCAATCACCAATGACGTTGTAACAGAAATAATAAGCAACTATACTGCCCAAGCGCCTGGCCGCCAGCCCGCCACCTTACCGAGCACGGCAGACGACCATCAAATTGCGTCAAGCCAGCAGGCCTGTGCTGACCTAGCCTATCTATGAATACTTTTAGGGACACACACTTAATTCTCTTTCCCGAATTCCACACAATCACGATACATTAATCGATTGTTTCGAGCGTTGAGCTTGTTTAATGTTTAATATTCCGAACATACCAGAGGCTAGAGTCAGCACCGCTAATAGTGGCCAATCGGCCCAATCCCATACATGATAGTGCGGGGATGAGTAATTATCATTCGTGACGTCATCTTAACCGCAATCACCAATGACGTTGTAACAGAAATAATAAGCAACTATACTGCCCAAGCGCCTGGCCGCCAGCCCGCCACCTTACCGAGCACGGCAGACGACCATCAAATTGCGTCAAGCCAGCAGGCCTGTGCTGACCTAGCCTATCTATGAATACTTTTAGGGACACACACTGATCGACCTGACGTCAGTCTGCTTAGCAATTAGTCATTGGTGCAGAGATATAGATTACCCGTACTGCCCTGCGGAGCTGTCTCCTCACCAGGCATAATAATAATAACAACAACATAGAAACTCATTATGCGCCAAATTACAGTGAAACAATTAAGTGATCTCCAACGAGGTATAAATTTATACTACTGTGCTCGTGAAAACAAAAAAAGCGCATTGCGCTATCTCTGATTGGCTGGTCGGTTACCACTTGATTACCTAACGCGATAGAAATTTGTCTCAGTTTTTAAAATTTACAGTAATTTTAATTCATATTTTGATTTATATTATCGTTCACTCAATAGTTAAAAATGCGTATCATTTTTGAGTAAAAATTAACATTACGTTAGCGGTCTAGTATAAATTTAAAGGTCTTTGGTGATCTCTATGTCACCAAGCCATCTTCGGCGATTCTTGCTTGCGCTGTGATCTGTTCTCTTTGGTTTAAACAACGGTATGACGTAGCCGCGGCCCGCGGCGCTCAGCTGTTACAAAATATTTTGCCATATTGAATGCTTGAGATTGGAGTGGAGTTTATACTTTAAAACTTTATAACGGTAATTTATAAAATTTATCTCATTTTCGAAGCTAGTTCAAGCTACAATTCTAAATAATTTTCAATTTAGTAACGAATTTAAACTGTTCAGAAGGCATCCAACCCCTCAGATTTACCGGTATCTGCAAAGTACCAAAATCCGGAATCCGGGAGAAACCGGAATCCGGATCCGGCGGATTTCGCATAAGAAAATCCGGATCCGGTTGGAAAAAACGGATCCGGCACACCCCTAGTATTTTAATGTTAATAATATTTTAAATTGCAAAATGTAAATTTTAATTATTGTCATTTTTGTTTTGTTTTCAGCAATCTGTTTATATTTATTATGGACTGACCAATTTCTATCAAAATCATCGCCGCTATGTGCGCTCCAGGGATGATGATCAGCTGCATGGAGGGGCCAAATCTCCAGGAGGCCTGAATGATGACTGTGACCCTTATAAAACTAAAACTGAAAATGGATCAACATTTGGTTACGCTCCATGTGGTGCTATTGCCAACAGCCTTTTTAATGGTAACTTTAATTGGTGAAAAAAAAAATTTACATTATGTAAATAAGATTTTAAATTACTTAACCTCGGTTGAAATTAAATAATAAAATGATAAAAGGGAAATTAGTTTAACTATATATATTGCACTTAACCACAAAAATAAGCCTGCTTATGACTTACATACATAATACACTGCCTCATGTAAGTTTGGTTGTTGTTTTTTTGTTGAGACTTTGTTAAAATCAAATAGCATCCCTCTTTTTTTCTCCCACCAATAAGGTCTACTATATTATTAAAAATGTCCTTATGACTTTTTTTGTCTTTCCAAGTTGGGAAAACTACATGAAACCATGTGAGTAAATAGGCCAGCAGCCAGCAAAAATGTGTCACTAATAGGATTGACACTTTTATGATGTACGTAGTTATGGCATAGAAGATGCTAAGATGGCAGCTTATTTATTTCATAATGGTAACTGAAGGTATGAAATCAGAATAACTGATTTTTCTTTTCAGATACTTTTAACATTACTTACACAGACAAAGATATACCTGTGGAACTGATCAAAACTGGAATAGCATGGGTATCTGACAAAAATGTAAAGTTCAATAATCCAAGTTGTGAGTATTTTTCTTATTCTTTTGATTTTTTTAAAAATTAGCTTGCAAACAAAATTGTTGCATTAAAATTTTTTTTAAAAGTATAAACAAGTCCTTGCATTAACGTCAACAGCATGGGCTTCCTTTATCAAGCCACCCAACTGGAAAAAGCCAGTCTGGGAACTTGATACCACTGACCCTGACAACAATGGCTATGAAAATGAAGATTTGATTGTTTGGATGAGAACTGCTGCCTTGCCTACATTTAGAAAATTGTACAGACGTGTGAACCACACTAAGCCTGAATTTTCCAATGGTTTACCTGCCGGGCAGTACAGAATTACAATCGACTACAGTAAGTTTTTTTTTAAACTTTGCTTCCATTGGCATAGTTCATCAACTGTTTGTCAACTTCACGAGCTTTGTGTAAGGTCTGATGACCCATTTACAACTCTATATAACATATAATTACACAAAGGAAATAGTTGATTTTGTCTTAACTTACTTAACTGGTTAATGATAAAGAAAACAAAAAATATAAAAAGTTGAGTGTGATCACACTTTATTGTTAATGTAAGTACACATTTTCAGTGTTCACTTTATGTCATGTAAATAGTTTTATAGCATAGGGCTTGTCATTTAATTGCTGAAATCTATTAATAGAACTGCTGTAATCATACAGGTACTTGGGTCGGACAAAATGTCAACACTGGTCAGTAATACTAAGAAGAGGCCCTCAACTTACAATAAAACTTGTTTATAACTATATTTTACAAAATATTTTACACAATTTTTTTTTTTTTACTGTTATTGCTATATTCAAGGATATACATTTTGTAAAATGGGACTTCATTGCACGTACGGCCCATGTAACAGTGACTCTAAATACAAGGATCGTCCCAACGATATGCTGAAACACACTATTAGCTTCCATGTTTTATAAATATTTGTCCGACGTTCTAAAAATAGTAAAGTTATGACGTTTTCTGGTCTGAGAAATGACCAACCCTATTAAAATTTGTTGACAATTTAAGTCTATCTTTGCAAATCTTCACTAAGCATATTCTATTATAAGCAATTTACTCTTTTGATGAGATGTTTGCTTCTTATTTAGACTACCCAGTTACCGCTTTTGATGGCACCAAGAGCATCATCATCTCTACCACATCCTGGCTTGGGGGAAAGAACTCATTTCTAGGCATTGCCTACATTGTTGTTGGCTCCCTTTGTATAGTGCTTGGGGTCATTTTTCTCATCATTCACATTAAATGGGGGAAGAAGTAAGTTCACATCATTTTTACTATAAATTTAACTCTATGTCTTTCATCATAACTGTGATAGATGGATACTTGTGAAACAGTTGTTTGCATTTTGTTGTTATTTTGTTTTTTATGACTACTGTATTTGTCTTTTTTTTTTTTTTTCTCCTTTGAGCTTAGAAAAAGGGTTTTTTTTTTTTTTTTTTTTTTTTTTGCTTTCAAATGGTTTACATTTTAAGAATGAGTTTTAATTTTTTTAAAAACACTCCTTTCACAAGCATTAGCTTACTTGGTTTTTTAAATTTTTGTTTTTTGTTTTTTTTTTTTTTTTTTTTTTTTTTTTTTTTTTGTTTTTTTTTTTTTTTTTTTTTTTTTTTTTTTCTCCTTTGAGCTTAGAAAAAGGGTTTTTTTTTTTTTTTCATTTGTTGTTGCTTTCAAATGGTATACATTGTAAGAATGAGATCAAATTTTCTTAAAAACACTCCTTTCACAAGCATCAGCTTACTGGGTTTTTTAAAATTTTAATTTAAACATAGGAGCCTACTTGCAAATGGTACTAAGTCCGTTTTTTTTTGAAAAAAAATGAGTTAGTGCCCTTTTCTTAATCTATTTCCTTAAATACACATTTTGAATCGCTCATCTTAACTTTCAGAAGGCTCTAAATGCCTTTAATTTAAATGGAAAATGTAGAACAACCTTCAAAAGGCTAGTTAAGTTGTAACACAAAATTCACTTTCCTGAAAAATGAGTTTGGTTGGACTTAGTACCTTTTGCAAGTGGGCACCTCATATGATACTTTTGAATGCTACTTCTTTTCTTAAAGTGAACAAGGCTGAAAACTATTTAAAATATAGCTCTTTATATTTTTTTTTAAAGTAGGGAAAGAAAAATTGTCTCCATCAACTGATGTCATACATCTATTGAAAGTATATGGTTATTTTTATTTTGACATAATGGAGATAATTCTATAAGTCATCTTTGTGTTTGTGGGGGGGGGGGGGGGGGAGGTTGAGTATGCTGAAAAAAGGAATATTGAAATCCACAAGCATAAATTCTCATGATCCTAAATCTGGTTATTACATCAACTTGGTGGCTCTTCTGTTATGGATCATTGTCCTTTTTTTTCTTCTTTTCTTGTATTCTTTTGAGGCCAATTATTTTTAAAATTTTTTAAAATAGAAATAGAATCCTTGTATAATTTTTATTCTATATATTAAAAAATATTTTTTTTTTAAAAGTGCTTTAAAATTTTTAATTTTTTTTAGAAGCTATATTCTCATCTATAATTTTGAATGTTTTATGACTATAGGAATATATTTCTTTTAAGTATTATTTTTTTTAATGGAAATAATCTAGCTGTTCCTAAAATTGCAGGCGCAATCTGCAGTTTGATAATCTGGAGCCCCTTGATAAACAAATTTGATCCAACAGGCTTGTAGGAAGTTAGTGCCTGATCTTAAATTCTTTATATTTCTTGGCTTGTTGGCTAGCTAAATGGATTTATTTGTACAATACGCTATTTGGTTTGCGGGCTACCTTTCTGGGAATGACATTTATTAAGCCAGGAACTGTAAGAGATGCTTAAAGATAATGATTCTCAAATTTTTGTGAATTAATGTTAGGGCACCATTTATCTAAATCGTCATGGCCTTAGAAATTACTTCAAAAGTTAGACTTGTAAGTTTATACACCATAGGCAATCCAGTATATATATTCTGCTTCAGAGTGCACTCTCTTTATAAATTCTTTACGGGTTCGAGTTTTTTTAAAACAATTTAAAGCACAAAAATTATTCTTTTGCTGTCCTCTCCAATCTTATTTTTTACCACTCTGTTGTTAAACTTTGGCTATATATATATTATATCTATATCAAGCACCTCATAAAACCTGGTTTTTGTGAGCTGTCCAGCTGTTTGCTTTGAGATATATTTTTTTTTGAAGAACTCTTAGCAAGCACCAGCAGTAAAGCACTTTTTTGTCTAGTTATCTGTATAGCTGATCTGTGATATTTTCAATGGTTTAGAACAGAGTCCATGATCCTGCTTGACTCAGCTGCTGATGTGGCTGGTATGTAAAGTACAGTTTGGCTCTCTTACTTCATTTTGTGAATGCACATGGTCAAGGCCTTATGTTCCATGAATTTTATTTGGTTCTCTGTGATCTAATCATGTCCTTCACGTATAGCACTGCTTCTTTTTAATTTATATGGAGCATCACATACTTATGATTTTCTTATGAGTTATTGTGCATTGGTTGATTTAGGGTGTTACTTTTCATAATAGTGTATTGGTCATATTAAAAGATTGCTTGAAACTGCTCTCTTTCATCAATTATTATCACTATTGATAGCATATATTTTAATTTTTTTTTTATTACTGGATGCATTGGCACTTTTGAGTTTTAAATGACATTTTAGTTATTTATGTGAGAAATTAAGGGATAATTGCGTAATTATTTCTCTTTTTTTCTTTTTTTTTTGGCTGCTTCTTTAACAATATTTGGTAATATTTAAAAGCTATTTGGTAAATTTGCTTTCCTTCTTATTTACATTCAAGTTCTATATTGTCATTATACTGTTTGTATCTCTATCACAGATTTAACTATACTTTTGATTAATTTGAGAAGAAAACTGTCCTAAATTGCCAATACCAACATAAATTCAGCTGGAATTCAAATATATATATATATCTGTTAACAAGTGTATTTCTTCTTTTAACTGTTAATTACAAACCATTTTTTTTTTTTACCCCCCAAATATTATTTTTTCAAATCAATTGCCTTTGAAACTCAACTGGTTCTAACAAACTAACCTTTGTATCTCTTGAATTCTTTGTCTTGCCTAATCTAAATTTCAATGGGTAACAATAGTATTATTTCCCTATATCTAAAAGGCTTTTTTTTTTTTTGTAAGAGTCTGTCAATACTACCTGTGATAAAACATTAAAAATATGATTTGGTGGGCACAGCTATGATGCAGTTGTACAATTATCATAATGTAAGTTTCTGTCGTAACTTTCTTTTAAATTTTCCTCAAAAAGAAATATCCTAATGACTTATTTTACAATCAGTGATTAGTGGTACCAAACAAAATCAACCAGACTAGTTTTTTGCTCTGTCACAAAATGAACAACAATTAAACACATACACTGCAGTTTAGATAAACACATTGCTCTTTTTTTTAACATTCTCTTTTCTGTAGACTTTTGGCAACTCTTGATGATGATCACTATTTTAGACATTATTATGTACCACCAAAATTTTTGCCATGGCCTTTTGCTGTTCAGAAAGTACTGAGCAGTTTTGGCAAATTTGGAAATCAGTTGAGTAACCTGTTTGCACCACATGAAAGTAGTGAGGGCTTTGATGATTCAGCTCCAGAAAGTGACTCAGATGATGAATGTGGACAAAAGGATCCTTTACTGGCAAGAAGAAAGGACAGAGAACCAAAAGATGGCTTGAATTCTTACCCACATTATTTTTCACGGGAAACATTTGCTGTTGGGGAAGGTAGAAAGATTTCACCTGATAAATCAAATTCTCTGATGCGACAGCATTATCATCCCAAAACTTCTAAGTCTAAGGTAAACTCTGCCCATGATGCCGTTAGTGTTTATCATGAGGATAAGAATAATATTGGGCCTAATGGACACACGGAACCTATGCACTCCAATAAATCAAGAGCCAGATCTCATGCAGAAATAAGGAGCTCGCCAGGTATGAAATCCGAATCAATCAGACCCGCAATGCCAAAGCATCATTCGAAACAGGCCAATTTTCAGATAGATTCGCCACAAGGAGGAACTTTTAACAATCAAGCTGGCAGCTTGATTGCACAGAAGTTAAAAGAACTTCAAGTAGGGCATGATCGAGAGGACCACCACAAACTTGGATCTCTCAGTGGGTCGAGCAGGGAAATGCTGGCAGACCAAACCAACACCCATGACATGGACCATAACTCTGATGCTTACTCAATCACTAGTAATGCCACTATTCTGGGCAGCAGTTTGACCTCAAGTTCATGGGTCAATAGAGGTGTTCAGGTCAATCTGGGTCAGAAGTGGGTAAAAAAGAAACACAAGACACGATCAAACAAGGTGGGGGTCATGGAGAGTGGACATGAGGACTCTGGTGTGTCCAGTTTTGTTGGACCACAAGCTCACGAAGATATTTCCAACAGTGTCGTCTCTATGAAGAGATTCTCCCGTGACACAATCGAAAGCAGGGTGTCAAGCTCCAGCAGCTCTGTTGAAACTCACCATGTCAGGCCATCTCAGTCTTCGTTCTTCCTCCCGTTCATGAAAGATTCGGTCTGCACATGTCAAACTCGTATCCACTCCAGCCTAGACTATGATATCCTTTGCGAAGAACTTACGATAGCCAAGTCCAAAATGATGGATATGAATCTTACACTAGTGGATGTGCAGAGTGAAGAGCATTTAGATGAAAACTATAACCAAGTCAGTAGGAAGATCAGGGAGGATGTTATTGTTCTAGAAGATTTAGAAAAGAAAGAAAACTCCAATAACAACTTACTTGCTAGTGTCTGTGACGATGCAAGAAAAGAGAATATGTGTGTCCACACATGCAATGCCAACTGGCCATCTGTAACTATCTTTAAGCAATCTCAACCCTTCCAAATGGATGACCCTTTGTGTCATGGGGTTGATCCTAAAAATGGCCAACTCAAGAAATGGTTCAGTCCCACTTTGGTGAAATGCTTACGCCATGAAATCCACAATGAACATAGGAAATGGTTCAGTCCCACTTTGGTGAATTGCTTACGCCATGAAATCCACAATGAACATTTGATGCCAGAAGATGAAAGAGCGTGTTTTGAGCTTGTAAATAACCAGATGTTAGAACCTATGCTAGAGTCGAGTCAGGCACACAGTGGATGGATGGTTATGATCTCTGTTGGTGTGCAAACAGAGGATTATGAAGGAGAACTTCTGCCTTTATTTCTCATCAAGTAGCCTGTAAGTCCAGACTGTTGATTTTACATTCTCCAACATTGAACAACTTTTTCACTCTTTCTATTTACATTTTTTGGAAGAGGATATTGTTTTAATGTTGCTTTCTAGCAGTGTGGCTGGTGCAATTTTGATGGGAAAATGAACAATTGCCTTTTTGTCTTCATTTTTGCCGAGTTCATTTCTTTGCCTTATTTATTTGTTGTAAAACTGTCATTGTAAATAAAATAATATAACAGGGTTTTAGCAATGACCACATTAATTTTTTAACGATGGCTTATTGTTTCAATGTGAGACAATCATCTGCTGAAGTTTGTATATGTCATTTATTTATAAAAGCTACGTTTCATTATATCAGTTTTTTACAATAATTTTTTATTATTATTTAAATATATAGCTTACACTAATAAAAAGAAACAATTCTGAAAAAAATTAAATGGAAAAAATAAGATAGCATAGATTTCAAGATTTCTCTATATTTTTACAAAATGTACTCCAACAGTTATGATAGAAGCTTTACCTTAATTAAAACCGAACATTCCTTACTCTACTTCCTACAGATAAATAGAATCAATTGTAGTACGTTTTTAACAGTATCTGTCTGGAATGATCAACCTTTTAATAATGAATATGGACACTTTTTAAATAATAAATATATATGAAATATTTTTGCAGCTTGAAGCCACCTTATTTTGCTAAGAGCATAATTTTTTATTTAAAAAAAAATTAAAATGTTGATTTTTTTGTTTGTCTCACGTAACTAAATTTTTATTTGTAGCTTGCAAAGATTTAACCTGAAGTAGTTTTTTTTTTTTTAATACATGGTATTAGAAATTGCATTCGAGATGTGGTACAAAAATGTATTTCCAAACAATCAGAATTGCACCACTCTGCTAATGTTGTTTTATAAAGAATTTATAATTTCAACATGAGCTTTGTGGAAGCAGCTGTTGTTGAATGTATTTTTTTAATTTTTTTTTTTAAGTGTTGATCTTTACATTGTAAGCATTGTTATAGGAAAATATAACTGTTTCATTTTGGCTTTTATGTTAAGGTATTGTCTTATGACTTTCCCTTGCTTTTACCCTGCACTGGTATCATTGAACCTCATCCCCTGCAGGCTACAGCTTACTTTCCTGTCACATGATTTTATATTGTCAAGGGGGTTTCCCGCCCTGGTTGGAACTTTTGGGGTTTACACATAACTGTATATAAATGATGCGTTGGGGGCTTACTTTTGGGAGTTCACCCAGGCGGACCGATGCAGCACCCATGACATGGGCCATAACTCTGATGCTTACTCACTCACAAGTAATGCCACTCTTCAGTCGTGTAACACATTTGCATTTTTTTAAAACCATTGGTTATAAAATTAAATAAAAACAGAGGCAATCCATATTTATGAGGTAAAATATCAAATTTATTCAGCCGTCATGTTTATTGTTAAAATTAAGTGCAGGATCTTTCTTTATTTCTGCTAAACATAGAACAGTAAATCTTTCTTTGGATAATTGGTCTTGGTGGGTTCGAGGGACATTCTTAAAAAAGCAATAATTTCTTGGGAACTGAAGGAGCTTTGTGTGTAATTTAATATACCAAAAAAAGGTGTTGCTTGACTACTTCTTCTCTTAAATTTTGTGGGCATTGAATGGTATGCTTCAATATAATTGAAACCCCTCCATATCTGTGTGTAACACTTGATGTATTTGTTTTAGCCGTGAAAGTGCAGTTGAAATGGACACAGCTGGCAAGAAGGTAGCAGTTTGAGGAATGTCTTAATGTTGATAAAGTTAAATTGTTGGGCATTTCTGGCCAAGTTGCAATGATGCAGACAGACACTTTTAGCAAGAATTTTCATTGATAGAAATAAACATAGTTGGTGTACAGTATTGACATGTTGGGTTATATTATATTATATAGTGAAAGTAATGGAGGAAATGTTTTAAATGAATTGATAGTTTCAATATGGCCAATTGTCTTTTACAGCAAAGGCCTGCACCATCTTCTCAAAGACTTACACAATCTTCTCAAAGACTTACGCCATCTTCTTTAAGACTTAACCATCTTCTCTAAGACCTACGCCATCTTCTCCAAAAGCTCACATTTCCTACTACAGTAGTTTTAACTTTTAGGAAACTTCTTGAGCAAAAAAGTGTTTGGTTTAATCAAATTGTCTGGCCCGGTCGTTTGAAGCTGCACATTTTGTTTTTGTTTAATTCAAAATTTTAAAGTTCAACAGAGTTCCTTTGTTTTTATTTTAAATTTATAAGAGAAATATGTTCTTATTTTTAGTTCAGGCCTGGGTAATAATTTTCCATGTTAAATTTTTTTTTTTTTTAAATAAATCCATCAGAAAAATATAGCTACCTTATGGTTTGGCAACTCCATTTCATCACTGTACTTAATGCTACATGGATTAAATATGTTGTATTGAATCTAGAACTTACTTCTTTCAATTATCAGCCAAATAAAACCATCATTAATCACATGGCCTAAAGTAGCCCAAACTACATTGAACTAATTATAATTATACTAATTTACCTGTCCTATTACATGACATATTTTTACTACACTAACATTTCAACTAACTACCTTAATAAGTGTTCAAAAAGTGCTCAACTATTAATAGCATCAATGACATTTGCTCCCATTCTAAGCTAATATCCATGTTTGGCATTTAAATCGTGCATTAATGTGGTATTTTTATTTACACGGCAATTAAATACTTGCTCTGGCACAAAACATTTTCCCAACGAAGTTTTTAAAAGACAAAGCTGAAATTTAAAAAAAATTTAAAACTGTTAGCTGTAAGTTAAAAATAAATTTAAAAGAAACTTTTGTTTAAATCTATATTTTAAAACTGATTTAATTTATTGGGTTTAAACTTCTGGTTTGCTATAAAGTGCTCAATTATTGAAACAACTAGGAAGAATACTTGAATAGACATGTCTATAAGTAATTTTGTTATTAACATGAAGGTTGCTTAAGATACACAGTTTTCAAACATGTTTCCATCTAATTTTAAGTTTTAAAACATTTAATATTCACATCTAAAGAAGCAGTTCTTATCAAAACCTATTTTTTTTTAAACATTCATCAGAATCATGCTGACACGTCTTTACTGACTTTCAAGAAGAAGAAAAATTCCATCATAAATTCATGTTTAAAGATGATGATGGATTAGGATAATTTCACACATTAAATATGTTTAAAATATTTCTCTCCTCCAGGTCAGCTGAAATGATCAATGTGACACCTAGAGACACATACTAGCCAGCTGGTCTCACTTCTGTGATGTTGCTCCCATCTGTAACCCCTTGACTGGACAGTACCTGTGTCTGACCAGTAGACACACCTGTATGTGCGGATAAAAAACTGGTTTTTAAAACGGATGTTTTTATTTTTGCATTCCATGTTGATGTTTCTCTTTTTATTTGAAAAAATGTAACAAATCTCCATAAAACAAATATTTGTATGCTCCAAAATTAAGATCATTTAGAAATTTAAGGTTATGATTATACTTGATTAAAAATTAGAATGAAAGATTCCTGTCACCAATCTCACCATTTCCAAGATGTTAGTGGTCTCAAAAACTGTTTGATGCACTCATACTAAATAGAAATATTTTATATTAAAATTAATTATTTACCTTCACATCAGAACATTTTTGGATAAGAATAGCTCTATAATGTAGAGATTTTACCGACCTCATTTGGAAAATTTCAGGAGGTACATACTTAATTTATAGGTAACAAACATGTACTTTTAAGGGGGGTATTCTTAGTAAGGTATATGTGTTTTGCTATAACATTTCATTTTTTGATATATGTATAAACTTGTCTTGATTTACGTGACAAATTAATTCATGCTAGAGAAGAAAAATATCATGTTTGTATATTCCATTTCTTTTTTTTTTTTTCTTTTTATTCTATCAGTTTAAAATGTCATGGTAAATTAAATTGCTAATATTTTGTGTTTGGGTTGACAACAGCAAATATGATATTGAAATCCTTATCTTTTACTTGTCTTGATTTACGTGACAAATTAATTCATGCTAGAGAAGAAAAATATCATGTTTGTATATTCCATTTCTTTTTTTTTTTTTTCTTTTTATTCTATCAGTTTAAAATGTCATGGTAAATTAAATTGCTAATATTTTGTGTTTGGGTTGACAACAGCAAATATGATATTGAAATCCTTATCTTTTCTTATCATAGTTGAACTAATTACTTTTTCATCTTTTTTTCCTTGGCTCGATATCAGGTTTGCTATACACAGATTATTGAACACTCAGTTTTACTTTTTCATGTTTATATTATAGATGCACAATTAGCCACGAGTGTCAAAGAGATTGTCCTTTATAATTTTTTATTTTTTTTTTACCATTAACACACAATTTGAGAAAATCTTTGTTAATCTAGGGAAGGACAATCAGAACAAACTGACTTCAATTAATATTATATTTTATAAAAAATAAAAGTGGTTCTTTTTAAATATAATCATTACAACTTTTATAAATCCTTTTTGGTCACATTTACATAGTACTATTCTAAAAAGTATTTTTAACAGAAATTTAGTGAATTGCATGACTTTTTGGATATATTTGTTTTTTTTTATACAATTTGTATTGACTTTGTTAATGGTAAGAGATTGAAATTTTGTTCTGTTAGATTAAATGTTTAGAAGTTTGTTGATTCATCAAAGTCAATCATTCAATCTTACAAGAAAATAAATGTTGTGTCTCAGTGCTTCATGATGATCGTCTAGTCAAGAGATCAAATATGTTTTATTTAGTTGAGATCTGGCCTTCTATGACATATGTGAGAAAGTGATATAAAAATAATCAGTTCATGCAATTTGTACAAATGAAATAAGAGTGTGACATCGAGCTAGTATATTAATTTGTGTCTTTATTTAAATTTTGTTCTTTGTCAGATTTAGGGTTGCACTGATTTATTGGGGGATAATCAGTAAATGATTATTTTGCCTTATTAGTGCAGCTTGAGTAAGAATTTAATGCTACTGAGGTCAGAATGTGGCTCAACATGAGTCAGAATGTGGTGCACCTTGAGTCAGGAGGCCTTCAATGTAAACTTATTCTGGGATGTGTGTACTGTTGTATGTTTGTTTAACCCCACATTGAAATCTGTGTTGATGCAATATATTCAGCGACATTGTCTCCATCACTGTCACTTCACTCCATCACTTCCTGTGAGACTGCTGTTGATCTAACCTTCTCTCCAAAAGAGCTCATCTTGGTTATTTATCATTTATTTTATATCCCACTTCACAAAATTTTTTTTTTTTAATCTGAAATGCAAAATTGTTCACTTTCATTGTGAAAGTATTATTTTTTTCATAAATTATGTAATTCCCAAATGGTTAATGTTTTTTTTAATTTATGATTTCTTAACTGCGAGGCTCCACTGAAGATAAGATGAGCAGGGTCATGTAGGATTTAGGGTCATATGTAACTGTCATCTATTGAAACGTGTTCTAATCCTCATTGAACTTAATCATCCTTAAGAAACCAAGTTTATGAAATATTTATCTCATCATTTTAAATAGAAGTATCATTAACTTTTGAACCGACCATGAATAATAATGCCTTTATTTTTCTGGCCCGATAGATCATTTTATTTATTTCTGTGATAAGTTTGACCCACCAGATGCTAAGAATCCCGGTTTGTCAGACTATTTATGGAGGACGTTAGCTCTGATGAAATGTGTACAATATGGACAATGTAAATACAAATTCCTTCATCTCATTCAGCATGATCAGAAGTTTGTTGTCTTAAAGTCATCAGTTGAATGCTGAATGTGAGTGTGGGCCTAAGATGATGCTTGAGGTGTCCATACTGCCTTTGTCTGTTTCAAAAGAATCCATCCATTGTGTGTTTGATTCTTTGCTGTGATAGCTAGAGTTTTTTTGTGTTGGGGGGGGGGGGGGGGTTTATGTCTTGGATCGTTTCAAAATAAACTGATGCAGATGGCTCCATGAAATAGTTAAAAAGTAAAAACTCAGCAAGTCCTAAATATTCTTGTTATGGAATGCTATTCATTGTATTTTTTAAATAATTTTTTTTTTACATATGAACTTATTTTCTGGTTAACAAAGTTGAAAAGTAAAAAAGATAAAATAATTTCTTTTACAGGAGTAGTGTTGATGTTTGTTTTGTTACTTGGAGTAGTGTCCTGTAGCAAGTTGGACAAGGGTATGTTAACCTCATGTTCAGGGACTCAAACAGCCAGCATACATCTTAGTGTCACATGTCAAAGTCAAATTTATTTTTTGAAGTCTATTACAAGAATCTTCATTAGTTATCATTTACAGGAATTTGGCATCTTGTAATTGCTTGTACTGCTTAAGTCTTGTTTTTTCATAATAATCAACCGGTAAAAGATTTCATTTTTTTTAAATAATAAAGCCCTTTATTAATTTTTTTTACCATATATCTGACATTGGAATAGTTTGAAGTATCTTTGCATTTCATTTAATCTGAATCACAGATGGTAAAACTAAAAGTAGCTCCATATATTTTTCACCCTGCTTTGAAATTTTTGTAGTTCTAAAAAAAAAACACCTTTATTTAAGGCTGCTTGTTCTGTTTCCATCTGTTCTCTTTTTCCATACACTTTGAATAGCTCAGTTGTTCTCTGAAGAGATTTGTCTGTGTCTCGATTATACTATTTCTATCCACTTGCTACTGCCTCATCAATGACAATGGCTGTACTTTCAAACTCAATGGTTAATTGAAAGAAAGCTCAATGAATTTGTGGATATAAAGCTAACTGATTTACAGTTTTAAATAATCACCCAATATATTTCATGTTCACTTGGAACTGTAAAGAGATACTTGATCCCTCTCAGCTGGTTTCACCCTTTAGATTAAGACTCACTAAAACTATAAATACTAAAAATTCTTGACAACTAAAGAGGTTTCAAGCAAATTGAATTTTTAAAATACTGAATGTTAGGAAAAGTATATCAACTACTAATTATTACATTAGTTTGAAAAAATTGCACCTACGACCCCCTCTTACTTTGTAGGTCAAGTCACCCAACCGACTTTGTTGCCACAGTTTTTACTGGGGTTTTTAATGGAACTCTTGTCGTACGTATATATACATTGTGAAACAGCTGTCTACATTGATATACCATACTATGGAACAACAGCGGTCTGTTGAGACACACCAGTCTGTTGGAGTCACAGCAGTCTGTAGAGACACACCAATCTGTTGAGACACAGCGGTCTATTTAGACACACCGGTATGTTGAGACACACTAATCTGTTGAAACACAGTCTGTAGAGACACACCAATCTGTTGAAACACACCAATCTGTTGGAGTCACAGGGGTCTATTTAGACACACCAGTCTGTTGAAACACAGCGGTCTGTAGAGACACACCAATCTGTTGAGACACAGCGGTCTATTTAGACACACCAGTCTGTTGAAACAGCAGTATGTTGAGACACACCAATCTTTTGAAACACAGTCTGTAGAGACACACCAATCTGTTGAAACACACCAATCTGTTGAAACACACCAATCTGTTGAAACACAGCGGTCTGTTAAGACACACCAGTCTGTTGGAACACAGCGGTCTGTTGAGACACACCAGTCTGTTGGAACACAGCGGTCTGTTGAGACACGCGCGTCTGTTGGAACACACCAGTCTGTTGAGACACACGTCTGTTGAGACCCACCAATCTGTTGGAGTCACAGCAGTTTGTTGAGACATACCAGTCTGTTGAAACACAGCAGTCTGTAGAGACACAGCAGTCTGTAGAGACACACCAATCTGTTGAGACATACCAATATGTTGGAGTCAATCAGTCTGAAACTTTTTTATTTTTTTAATTTTTAAACTGGGAATGTAATTTGCATGAAAAGTTTCTGGAGTGTAAATAAATAATGTGTTAGTCTGTGTAAATAGTGTGACTGTTAGGCTGTGGTAAAGACTTAATTGGAATGTTTAAAGTGGCCCCCCCTTGATCAATCCATCTGGTTATTGTGTAGATGATGTTTTGAGAAGAAAAGCATCAGTTGTTTGATCTACTTGTAGATATATTTATGCTGATTGAATGTTAGTCAGTTTCTTCTCTTCATTTGCTCTTCTTTTATTTCTTTAATAAAATTTAAGTGAAAGGTATTAGTTTGTTCAAAATTGCTTTTTGTTACTGTAGCTGTTTGTATTGCTTTTATTACTGTTACTGTATTTGTTTGTACATATTGCTTTTATTACCGTAGTTGTAGGTTTGCATTACCTTTGTTACTGTAGCTTGCGGTTGCTGTTAATGTTACGTGCACACTTTATGGGCCTATTCTTCTAGCATTTAGCACTAGAACATTTAAGATTATGACTGAAGGCTCCTAATGTTTTATAGAGCTTCAACAGTTGAAAGATTCAGCGTATTGTGTTTCGTTTGACCCATGGAGTAGGTCGTTTCTCGGCTTTGCAAGTAATCACGTGCATTTATTCCGTACGAACCGGTCAGATCTATCATAGCAGAGGCGGGAACATTTCCCACGTTTGGTTGTCACATGTTGTACGTCACCAGTCAATGGTGTCTACCTGAGCGTGTAATTGTTGTGCACTGCTGCAGGAGGGAAAGACATATCTGTGAGACCTGAATGACAACTAGTTGTAGTCGATTACTGGCATGGAGTAGTATTGTGTGAGATGTTGATCTCATCTGGTTAGTACGGGTATTTCCGTAGTCGACTACCTGGATGGAGGAGATGGACGTATTGTGTGAGATGTTAATCTCAGCTGGTTACTACGGGTATTACCGTAGTCTTATGACTTACATGTAACAGAAAGCCGTGCAAGCCCCTAGATGTGTTGTTTTGTATGTCATCATTAGGGAAACGGTATTTGACATCATTGTATCGAATACAGGAGTGGTGAAGCGGGTCTTGTTTTTGTTTTTTTAGTAATCCTTTCTTTTTTAATGCATTTTATTTAAGTTCATCCAAATATTACGCACGTCTGAAATGGTAGATGAAGAGATTAGGAGAAGGTCAAATGACAGGGGGCGAGCAGTGTAGTACTAAACTGAATTTTAATAGAAAAACGGTATGTAAAAAAAAAACAAATTGAGTACCGGTACCGCACGCTTGCTTCAAACTAAAGAAACTACTTAAAAAATAAATTAATTAAAAACAAGTTTTTAAAACATTAAAAATAAAATTCCTTCAAAAAAAAAAAACAACAACAAGGTATTCATAACCAAAGAAAGAAAAAAAAAGCATTGCTAAAATAATTTTACACGTTGAACGAAGAAGAAAAACCAGAAGCCAACGTCTATTTCCTGATATTTCCACGTTTTACTAAGGCCAAAAAAAAAAAATAATAAAAATCTCTTTTGTAAAAAGGGCTCCACATTTCTTTTCAAAATTGTTACTTTTTGTAAATGGTATATAACCGGCATGATTATGTTAAGAAGACATCAATTGTTTACAAAATACATCGTAGTGTGTCACTTTATTTGAGGGAAATCGTATTAGAAAAAAGCTTAAATTCCCAATATTCAGTTTATGGAAATGTTCATTTAGATTTTCAAATTACTGTAACTTTCTTCAGATCAACTAGAAATTTCGATATACTTTTTTTTTTTTTAAATTCCAATTCTATAGAATTTATTTTTATTACCAAAAAATAAAAAAAAATTTAATTTAAAAAAAATTTTAGATTTTCAAGATATGGAAAAGCTAAGTTTTTTTTTAAATTTGTTTATTTTTTTTTAAAGTTTTATTTTGTAAAGTTGTTTAAATATATATTTTTTCTACTTGCACCGGATTATCGTCTAAAAAAATAAATTTAAAAAATGCGTTCAAATAGCTGAGAAAGATGTTTATTATTCTGAAATTAAAGAGAGAAAAGTTTTGGGAATTTAATAAATAAAGGCTAAGTTTTTTTTATTTTATTTTAAAACATCATTTTACTCCGTTGTTCTAAAAACTGTGTTACAATAGACAAATCAAAAAAATGCACTCGATTTAAAATAACTGATGAACCAATCCACTAGTTGTATGCAAACATTAAATTCCTAATATTTGTTTGAAATATCATATACTTTTAGTTTTCATTTTATCTAACTAATAATACATGGATGGAATCGAGGGCCGGTACGTTGAAATTCATGCTAAAACGGTATATTTTAAAGCATGATGGTAAGTGCTATTATAATTAAACATTTAATAATTAACAAGCATTTAAATTTAAGTAACAGTCATGCTTTTATGATGAAGTATAATTTTAAAACAGATTGCACATGTTTAAAATATTTAGCAAGAACCATATTCAATTTATAGACCTTCATATTGATGTAAAGTTAGTTTAATACATTGCTATTAAGGCCTTTCAACTTTTGAAGCTGCAAAATTAAATAAATAAAATTCCAATAATGCGAACAACAAAAAGTGAGATTTTAGCTTATGATCAGGAGCAGCCTATGCCTATTTTCAAAACAATTCGAGATTTATATTCAAATTATGTAAGCCTGTGACAAGATGATCCTGAGCGATATAGATCATAAATAATATTATTATTATTAATATAAAAATTTCTATTGCTTTAAAAAAATGTCTAACAAATTAAATGTAGAATTTTAAAAAATTAAAATATTATAATTTCTTACACTTACACATTTCCCCCAGGGGGGCACTTGACTTGCTCCGGGGGCAGTACCCCCACCCCTTTGAAAGTATGCCAAAAAGAAACCCTGCACCTGAGACCATATAGCTTGAAGATGCTCATCGTTAACTTTGGAGTTCATAGTGGAAAAGAGCTTTTTCACACAGATAGGTACTACCAAAAAAGGCACATGATCCGCTTGAACAACTTGGAAATCTCAGGGAAGGAGGAGGTCAATGTTCTAAATTAATTATCCAAGCTTGTCTGTTTTTCCTGTAGTAGTGTGTATGATTATGGCTGCTGGAGGATCGTGTACGTGTGTCTGACACCCTCATCTAAAATCATGCAAAAAAAAAATATATTCTTAATTTTATATCAATCTGTTCACTCAGTGATTATTTCAGATTTCCCCCCCCCCCCCCCGGGGGCACTTCAGATTTTTCNNNGGGGGGGGGGGGGGGGGGAGGGGGGGAGTGCACTCCCGGAGATATAGCTGAAAGAAACCCTGGTTTCACTGTCTTGTATATATTAGATTGTGAATGTCTACTGAACATTTGGTATCGTACAGTAATCTTAAAAATTCAAAAAAGTTGTGGATCAAATGTGCAAAAAAGTGAAAAGTGGGTCACAAGTTTCGAGGGTAAAATATAGGCCTATGGACTATAGTATAGATTATTTGAGGCCCTTAAAAAGTTGCTTTTTAAAATCATAACACCACTTCTATTAAAGATGTTATTGATATTCTTAGAAAGCTGATAGCTAGCCCTTTAAAATGATATCTCTTATACCTTTCATGGCAAGCACTGATGAACAACATTAAAAATCTCTAATTAAAGTTAGGGTGCTGGGTGGCCGAGCAGTATAAACTGACTTGAGTTCAATCCCCACCAAACCAAAGCCAACATCTCAAGCAATGCGGGTGGATGAGACCCGCTAGCATTGGACGGCAACCCATATAAGAGAAGGCAAACTCCGAATTTAAACCTGGAGCCAGAATGATCAACAAATTGGTCGTGTGCCCCTCAAATATAAGAAGAAGGAAAAGTATTTTACTATATTAAAATTATTTAAAAAAAGACTATATTAAAAATTTATTAAAAATTATTATAAATGTAGGCAATTTATTACTTTTTTTTAAATTTTGATTCCACATTTCCAGTTGTGGAAGTAATTTTAATTAATACGGAATTAGACGTCATTTCATGTTTGTTTTTTTTTTTTATAAGTTCTGTTTTGGATTCCCATCCCCATGTTTTTACTAAGAGTTAAATTATCTTTAATAATAAAATGGCGATTGGAATTTTTTGAATTAAATATATAGTTTTTTAGAATGGATAAACTGTGACGCATATCGGTTCGAATAAATTACCATTTCGGCTATTCATCATTGAAAATACCCTGACGTATTTTTGGTAGAGTTACTTCCCTTTGTTTATTTTTAGAGAATTATTTTGTTATGTCTTAGAATTAGAATGCTGATGACCTATTTTGTATTAAAATTTTAATTGGTTGATTAATTATAATTCTAAATTATGATTGGTTGGCTAATTTGCATATTTTATTTGTGACGCCTTTTTGCCTACATTTTAGCCGGGCTTGCCAGTTCTTGTGCTCCATTCATTATCTGGATATTATTTGTGCAATCTGAAATAAAGTGTGTAAAAGTGTATTTCATGAAACTGTAAGTTGGGTTTTCATTATTAATTTATGTTATTATTATTTTTCGCCAATTTTTATTGATTTTTTTCTCAATTTTTTTAGTTTTCTTGCCACAGTGTGTTAATTCCACGTGTTTTACTTGTGACTTGTGGCTTTTCCAGTTTGGAGTGCTTGGACTGGTTGAATTTTCCCTTTAAAAAAATAATTTTGATAACTTATTAATAATCATGATAATTTTTTGTATTTATTACTATTATTATTATCTATTATTTAGTCAGTAATTGAACTTACAGCAATCATTAGTTTATTTCTTAACTGGTCTGAATGGATCTGCGGATAATTCTTTGCTTTTTAATTTTAACTTTATCAATGCACTTTTACCAGTTTATTTTAAGTTTTAAGTATGTTCAATGATGCTTCCACTAATCTTAGAATACCTTACTTAAGGGTTGAATTGGATAAAAAAAAATTTCAATTAATTATCACTTCTATTGCGCAATTTTAATTTTAGAAAAAAAATTCAAATGTTAGCAATTTTTTTGTCTTTGGTCTAACTGTCTTATTATTGTAGAAATCTTTCAACAAGGGGTAGACATAGATCTAATAAGTTGCACTCAGACTCTATATAAAACATTTCAATACCTTGTTTGTTAGTAAGTTAGTTAGTAATAAGTTGTATTTGTTTGTATAGTTTTTTGGTTGGATTTCCACTTTCCTCATCATGCGGTTGCTAAAAGATATACATGTATAAATGCCCTTAAAGCCCAGATTGCTTCCAGGCATATCTTAAAACCAGGCCAATGCTACATAATTTTGCCGCGGTGTACGCAGTACGCAGGTCTAGGTCCATGGTTTTGCTAGGTACACCGCTTCAGTGCACGCAGCCACTTTTATTTAATTTACCAAGACTATCTATCGTTGTTTTAAATTTTTTGGTCATTTATAGACCAGAATGCAAATTATATGTCAGCATTTATCTGTAAGCAGACATCTTGTTTTCCAATTCGACACCCACCCCCCCCCCTTTTTTTTTTAAAAAAAAGAATTTGAGACTTTAAATTTGAAGGTAAATTAATGCTAAATTTACTCATTCATATTTTTTTGTGGGGAAGGTGTCTTTCTTAAACGAAAAGTCGTCCATTGATAACTGCATAAATTTAAATTACAACATACCCTGAATTCGTGGGGCTAGGACCCAGTTCATTGGTGAAAAAATGCATACCAAATTTATGTCACATGTCTCAAAATTATCTATTATTGATCGATAACTGACTTTTTGCAACTAAATAACTTAATTTACACTGAAATCAGCATCTTCCACCAATAAAAACTTCGAGTTTGAATATGTATTCATATATATTCAAGCAAAAAGTGTTGACTGTTGTTTACAACACCACATACAACATTGTCCTAGTATCATCATCTTATCTTGACAATAACCAATTATATACTACCCAATAGTAAATAGTTGTACATCAATTTAAATCACAATTTTTTGGATACAAAAAAATATTTTGATTTTTTGAAATTCAAATTGTTTTTTGTTTTTTTCAGGTACCANAGCAAATGCGAAAGTGCGCTTTCCGCAAGTCTCAAGGCGAACACGTGGTGTCAAGAGTTTGCCACTGTCGGATGAGCGGAGTTGTCTAGTGGGTACATAAGGCGTCAGCAGCTCTTTCAGATAGGACGGCGCCAGGCCATGTAGACAGCGGTAGCACAAAGTTGCGATTTTGTACTCTATGCGAGCACGCACCGGCAGCCAATGCAACTCTCTCAGAAGTGTTTTTGCATGGTCGAACTTGCTTTTGCGGAGAACAATTCGAGCCGCATTATTCTGTGCTATCTGAATTTTATCAAGGAGCATAGCTGGAAGACCCACCATGAGAGAATTGCAATAGTCCATGCGTGATAGCACAAATGCAGACATCAGCCTCTTTGTTGTATCAATTGTTAGGAAGGGCCTGATGTGACTAATCCTGCGCAGCTCTAGAAAAATCGCCTTGCATAGCATGTTTATGTGACTTTCCAAGGTAAGTCTTCTGTCTAGGTAGACACTCAGGTACCGCACTGTTTGAGCTAACTCAATACGCACTCCTGAAAGAGTAATGGATGTCGTGTTATTTGCAGATTTTTGCTTCTGAGCGGTCGCGATGGGGAGCAGCTCAGTCTTATCATCGTTCAATTTGGGCTTGTTTATGGTCATCCAAAGCTTAACTGATTCAACTGTCTTCTGTTAATTTACACTGAAATCAGCATCTTCCACCAATAAAAACTTCGAGTTTGAATATGTATTTATATATATTCAAGCAAAAAGTGTTGACTGTTGTTTACAACACCACATACAACATTGTCCTAGTATCATCATCTTATCTTGACAATAACTAATTATATACTACACAATAGCAAATAGTCGTACATCAATTTAAATCACAATTTTTTGGATACAAAAAATATTTTGATTTTTTGAAATTCAAATTGTTTTTGTTTTTTTTCATGTACCATTTGTTGCATCCTTGTATAACAGAAGATGGAAATCTGCAAAAGCTCTCACGTAGGAACAGGCAGTACTGAATATGCCAGAAACAAAGGTGACCCGTTTGAGCAATGGCGTTAGAGTTGCCACTGAGGACTCTGGGATTATCACAAGCACTGTAAGTTTATTTGTGAAATCTCTTGTAAATGCAAAATTGACTTTGTTAAAAACCTTTTTTTTTTTAAATATGAGATTTTGTGCCTTGACCCTACTAGTGTTGTTTTTTTAATATATTTTAACTTACACACTCTGCAAAATGGATACAATACAATTTTAAAGTTCATTTGTGAAGCTTGGTATAGTTTTACGTTTTAGTCTGTCTTAACTTCTAAGTGTTTCTCACATTTTACTTGGTTTTATACGTTATATGTGTATATCGGCTATGAACTCTTTTTACATAATTACAAATTGTAAGCACTGAATATTTCCCCTCAATTTTTTTCAGGTTGGCCTTTGGATTGATGCTGGTAGTAGGTATGAAAATGCTAAAAACAATGGAGTTGCACATTTTCTGGAACATATGGCCTTTAAGGTATTCATTTAAATAACTGTTTTCACCTGAAACATATTTGATTGTTAATGACTACATTTTTTTTTTTCTTCAGTGTGATGAGGGCAAAATTGTGTATTTAATCAAAAGTAGTTTAAAAAATAGATATTGTGATAAAATTTAGGGGCTGGAAAGAGTTGTTAAATTGTTTTTTTTTTTAGACATTTTCATGTTTTTTAAAAAGTTATTTTCACATTGTGCTGAAAGATTGTGACCACAGACTCTCATTGCAGCCCAATGCCTGACACTTTCTGACTAAGTGGTATGGATATTTATCTTAATAGCTATCTTGCTGGGCTAAAAGTCCATTCCAGAATTTTGTTTTATTTCTTTGATTTCTTTTATTTCAGGGTACCAAGAAAAGGAGTCAAACTGACTTGGAACTTGAGATAGAAAATATGGGAGGTCATCTTAATGCATATACATCTCGTGAGCAAACTGTCTATTATGCCAAGTGTTTTGCTAAAGATCTACCCAAAGGTATGGATTAATTAATTGTAATTTATTTTGTTTTTTCAGTATTCTGTTCACCTCTTTAAACAAAATATACATAGAATTTCTTTCTATTGCTGTAACCATCTTTGACCTATTTTAGTCTTTACAAACATAGACTTTCTACTACAATTTATTTAACTGATCACCTGGGTTTTATTCCAAACTTTTGTTTACAGCTGTAGAGATTCTAGCAGACATAACACAGAACAGTTTATTGGGAGATCAGGAGATTGAAAGGGAGAGGGGAGTCATTCTCAGAGAAATGCAGGTATGATATGTTGCAACTTTATTTTAAAGTACTGCTTTCTGTAGTTTCTTTCCTTTTAAAAATAGTGAGTTAAATATTTGAGTTTTTTAATATCATACATTCCTAGGAAATTGAGACCAATCTTCAAGAAGTTGTATTTGATCATCTCCATGCAATAGCATACCAAGGTACCACTTTGGGACAGACAATCTTGGGACCAACTGAGAACATCAAGTATGTTAATTTTAAAAATTGGATACATTTTGCATTTCTCCCATCAGATACTGCAGTCTTGAATAGTAAAAAGACCTTATGTTATTGATTCCATTAGAAACTCTCTCTCACCTTGTAGTAGAACAAGTACCTTTCCAAGAAATCATGAACAAAAAATTAGAAAGCTGATACTGTTTGTTTTTTCATGGAATGGGCACCATTTTGCTCAAAAGTCTTAATAACAGAGACTAATGCTTTGATATATGGACAGCTTTTGTTATGTTGTAGGTTTCTTAGTGTTAAGTCCCTCTGATGCATAAATGTAAACTTATTTTAAAACAGAAAAGGTAAATTAATTGAATTAAAGAAAATCTGTATTACCCTTTATGGTTTTAAATACTTAAAATTTTTTTTTTCATTTATAGATCCATCACTAGAAATGATCTTGTGGAAGAATATATTAACTCTCACTACAAGGGCCCCCATATTGTATTAGCTGCCGCTGCAGGTAATATTATTTTACATTAATGCTCATATGTATTTGATGTGGGTGATATAATATATTGCATGATAAAAATTTGATCTAAGAAAAAATTATTTTAGCCCAATTTGAAGTCTTTTAGTAAGTGCAGGTTTTAACAAAGAAAACCAAAGCATGACACAAGAAGAAATCAGAAAATAAAGATGCATTTTAAAAATTTAAATGTGCACCAATTGCAGGAGTTAATCACAATGAGCTGTGCAGCTTGGCAGAACGTCACTTTGGAAAGATGACCGCTGGTTATGATGGAGAGATTCCCATCTTGCCCCAGGCAAGGTTTACAGGAAGTGAGGTATGAGAATCTAAACTTTTTAATCCTTCTGTATTTTGTTTTTACTTCCATATATAAGCTCTTAAAACTTGGGGGTGAAATAATAAATGCTAGAGTTGTGGGAGGTTATGTTTTACAATTGTTGTTCACATAATTACAGCTCAGGATACTAGATGATCTCATGCCTTTGGCTCACGTAGCTATCGCAGTGGAAGGATGTGGCTGGCAGAACCCGGACAATTTGGCACTGATGGTGGCCAATACTCTGATAGGCAGCTGGGACAGATCCCATGGGGGAGGCACCAATCTACCCAGTCAGCTGGCCCAGCACACCGTCAAACTTAACCTGGCCCACAGCTTCCAGTCCTTCAATACTTGCTACTCAGACACTGGCTTGTGGTTGGTTTATGGCTTTTCTTTCTTACTATAAAGGTTGATAGTGTGTGGCTAGTCATCAGCCAGTCCAGATATCCAGACTTTTCAAGAATCTTAAAGACTTGAAACTGAAACTTAAAAGAAATATATTCAGCAGCACAGTAATGCAAGTTTACTGTGCAGTTTTCATGTTTTATTAAACAATTTTAAAAATTGCTTACCCCATTAACCCAAGTAGGTCAAAGATATTTCAAAATCAGTTTTAAACAAACATGCTGTCTCAGTAGCAATTTTCTTATTTCTAAGTGTAAAGGAAGTGATGCTCTAATAATAAAGGTGTGAGGGCTTTGGTTTAAAATGCAAATCTTATGGCCATTAGTTAGTCAAGATTGTAAAATTGGGATTACTTTAACTACCACCCTCTCCCTTCACTAACATTATTTTATTTTTAACAGGGGTATTTACTTTGTCGCAGACAGAATGATGATTGATGACTTTATTTACAATGTCCAACATGAATGGTAGGCTAATTTTATCACAATCTATCAATTTGCTCTTTTTATTTGTAAATGGTCAACAATATTTAATTTATTGTCATGTTATCTTTCATTTTTTTAAATATCACTTAAATTTGGTACTGTTTTTTGTACACTCCTATTGAGTTCTCTGCTGTATGATATCTTGTTGATAAATACAAACAGGATGCGTCTTTGTGGTGGTGTAAGAGAGGCTGAAGTAGAGAGAGCCAAAAATTTGTTGATGACCAATATGCTCCTGCAGCTGGATGGCTCTACACCCATATGTGAAGATATTGGCAGGTTAGGACAATACATGTTTTGTTTTACCTTTAAATATCTCCTTTCTGATTTTTTTTTTTCCCAACTTAAACTGTTTTAAGTTAGCAGTAAATTAGACCAGTCAGGTATGGGAGTTATTTTAATAAACAGACTGTCTTAGCCGTTTGTACACAATAAACATACACCTAATGAAATTAATTATTCTTGGGCAAAGCTTCTAGCTGCCAATGACCCTGGTTTAATGTTTCAGCAAATAAAAATATAATTATATGATGATTAGCCAGTATAGAGTATTCCTTTTTCCTCAGACAAATGCTTTGCTATAACAGAAGAATACCTATTGATGAGATGGAAATTAGACTTAATATGAGTACTTTTAATTATAAATGAAAGGTTACTTAAGTAAAATGAATGAACCCACCACTACCTAACCTACTTTTAAGGTAAACAATCTTTTGTGCCTAATTAACATTGCATAACCCCCTGGTACAAAAAAGATATTTAAAAATAAGATAGTCAAATTGTTTTTTGGTCTTGTTTAAAAAATATCAAGATTTAAATTAAACAATGATGCCAAAAAAAAAACTTTTCAATAATATCTGTAGTTTATTATTAGTACATTTGCACAAGTTTACTGCAGTTAGAGTAACTTGCCACTTGCACCAAGTGATGTTCTAATTTTTAAGGCAGATTCAGAGTTATCTTTATCAGATCTGTTTACCTTGCAACTCTTAAAATCGTACACTATCCTCACAAAATCGTTCAATACATTATCTGAATAGTAAAAAAACACAGTATATATAATATTTAGGCCTCAAAATTCTTACATTGTACGCCAAAATCATAAGAGTAAACAGGTCTGCTTTATTCATAGCATCATCTATATATATCCCTTTAAGTTTCAAATTTCAATAAATTCTATTTGGGAGTAAGTAAGCTTGTTAGGGCTCATAAATTAGCATACTTTAGCTATGGGTAAAAGGCAGGCGCAGAGTGAGCAGTAAGTATCCTGTGGGAATTGGGTAGAACATTATTGAGAGGAATAAATAACTTTTATATTATATATTATTGTGCCTTATTGAAATATGTTCTTGGGAATCACTAACATTTTAGAAATTTAAAATAAAATGTGTTGCTATAAAAAAATGATTGTGATGCTTCATCTTTACTGTGACATTTAGCTGTTTACATCAAGTTATTCTGTTGTTTTTTTTTTTGTGTTTTTTTTTTTTTGCATGATTGAATAGGCTATTACAGCTGATACATTGAAAGAAGTGTGCACAAAATACATATATGATAAATGCCCTGCAGTGGTAGGAATTGGTAAGTGTCTTTTATTAATTTTGAGATTTACTAAATTTTTACCATGAAGCTCCTTAAAATTGATATGTTGAGACAAATTAATTATATAACTACTAATAATGATACTATGATTTGTAAATCTGTGAAAAATTAGTGCAAATATTATTTCTCTTTATTTTAAAATTGTTTAGAGATTTAGTCAGTCATTGCCACAAGGCTGTTGATCCCCACAGGCCCTACCAATGACAAATTATTTATCATGCATTAAGTGATTTCTATTATTTTAAAGAATAATCTTTTCTTCCTCTTGTGGAAAGATATAACCTCGTATTTCTTGATCCTAGGACCTATTGAAGCCTTGACAGACTACAACAGATTGCGTGCTGGCATGTACTGGCTGAGAACATAACACTTTTGAAGCTAGGACCTCGATATATATATTAGTTTGTTTGGGAAATTTCTAAGAAACCAAGATCATTTTTTGTGCAGCAGTTCATGAAGATCCCACAAACCAAGGAGCTAAAAGCTTTACTGAAATTCTTTTTAATTTAGATCTGGTTTTCCATCAACTAGTTTGAATCCAAAAACCATACAGTAATTCTTATTTAGAACGATTTCTCAATAACATTTTACTTGTATTTGTGGAGAGATGTGAATATATTTATCTTGCTAGATACATAAACAGGATATTTGTGGAATAGAAAGCAGGTGGTGTAGATTATTAGGTTCCTATTTTGTTTCCTATTTTAAAAGCATCCCCAACATTTGTGATGTTTAAATTGTTAATTTTGAAAGTAATTTGTTATATGATGTGAACTTGTCAAATGCAATGAGTGACATTAAAATATTTTGTACAGTCTTAGAATGTATTTTGTTTCTTCTGCACTTTATAATGTTGTGATGTACTGTTGAAACTGAATTTTCCCAAATTTTAAATTCAAGCCTAAACCAAAGATAGAGGATTGTCTTTTCAAGCCTAAAAATATCTTGTTCTACTATTTATTTACTTAATAGGGCTTGAACACATTTTCATCCCAATTGGAAAACGATAAAACGGGCAAAGTACAAAACAAAATTATATTTTATTGCAATTTTATCTTGATACAAATTCAATCACACCATTCAAGATCTATCATTTCAGTTATAACGAAAATTTGTTCAGTTGCATGTTTAAAGTTATGTATATACATTAATAAATGTTGCAAAAAGATGTATTTTGGTAATTAAGAAAGGTGTAAATTATAATTTAAAGCTCCGCTTCATTTTTTTCATATCTTATACCAATATCCAATGAAAGTTTAACTTATAGCCCAGCTAGATTATGTAAAAATAGAAAGATATTAATAGGGCCATGCCTTGTAAAAAAAAAAAAAATTTCAGGCTAATAATTTTCTTCAAGTTCATGAAAAATACTGCACAATGAGCAAGTTATACATTTATTTTTTATATAATGTAGACTTGTGCAAACTTTTCAGTCCATGGTTCAGATGACTTGTAGAGTGATGGTTGTGGCCCAGTCTAAAAAATCACTTTTCCACATGTAAAACAAATTAAAATCAGTGTCAAAGACTAAATACATGTCAAAGCTTTAATATTCTTTTTCCAGGATAAGCATACATTTTAATTTTAATAAATAATTTAAACAAATCTAAATGGTTTGTGTCATGGCAGATATAGACAGTGACAAAATATCAAGTATTATGGTTTTGAGACAAATTGTGATGGTAAAGTTATATGGGATTTTTTGCTTGCTGTATGAAATAAAATGCTTACTTGATATAAAATAAAAAGTTGGATTTAGAGCTGGATTTTTTTTGGGTAAACAAACTGTTGGTATAAATTGATTAATTGCATTTCATAGAATTAAATCATCCATAAAACACAACAATCTAAATACTAGTGTCACATATTGTAAAATTATGTCAAAATGTGTCAAGATAACCTTGAGCCTTAACCATTGACTACAGAATATATATACACTTCCACACTATTTCCATTTTTGAAAAATGTTCTTTGGTAAACAACTTTCTACTAAGATGAAAAATCTCTCACATTTAGATTGGCTAAATATACAGTCCACTATCAAAAACAGCAAAAACTGTAAAGTAGATAAAGTACGGGTTAAAAATAAAAATCATTCAGATTTTGTTTGACCTGAAAAATCACAATTATTATCGGATAAAAGATATTTACTTAAGAATTGTTAAATTAAAATGATAATTGTATTGACAGTATTTGGATTTAAAAAAATTCTTCCATGCATCCTTTCCTATTAATGTACACTAATGCTAGACACCCATTCTTATCTATTGGCACTCAGAAAAATAAATAGGGCTATTGAAATTTAATGTGAAATATTAAATTTTTTTTATTATGAACATATTTGACCAGGCTATCAATAATGGGCCTGAGCAAGTTAACATTAGAATATATTCATTCTCTTCTCTTTATAACAGTCACATCAAACATTTATACAAATAAAATTAGCGACACTTGGCGTCACATCAAAATGCAGTAGTCCAACAAACAAGATGGCTGTAGGACTAACTAATTACAAGCCACAATAATCATCACCTGTTTGCAATTGATCAATATTATGGGAAAAATTTAGAACCATTTTTAATGATCGAGATGTTCACAAACTTTAGGGTTGCAAATAAACGTAGAAATTCAAAGACATTTTCTTTTTTATTTAAAAAAAAAGATACTTTGGATGTATTTAATAAATGGCTATAGTATAAGTATTCCTTCTCGCATGTGTGTTAAATTTTTGTAAAAATATCAATCAGCTGTATAGCAGTTAAAAAATAGTTTAATAAGTAAATAGTGCCAATAAGCAAAAGCACAGACATACCTACAGCCATTTTTTCCTAAGACAGAAAGCCATATTGGGCTTTCCGAATATTTGGCATGCCTTAAAAGAAAACACAATTATGTTTGGAATGCTTATGGGTAAATTTGTTTACAAAAAACAGTTACACGAAACAATTGCAAGCAGACAGCTGCCTTTATGATGAATATAGTCAAAATACATCAGCAGAAAAACAAATAAAGCCAACATTTCACAGATATAAATAAGTACAAATGTAGAAAACTCACAACATTTTTTTAATACAGGTGATTTTCCGTTAGAACTTAACTAGTTTTCAGTAGACAAATGTAAGTTTATATATAAATTAGTATATTTATAACAGAATTAGTTTTTTTATTATATAATTAAAATAAATAATCCTCAATTTCCTTGAAAATTAACATTAATTACTTATATTGTCTAAAACATTTAAACAAAAAAAGACATTTATAATGAACATTATGCATATACATGATTGTTATCACAGGTTTTTATCCTAAATTCTACAGTCCATGAAACTTAAAACTATACCTAGAGCAAAAAGACATAATTCAAAAAAAATTATTTTGCAGCATCTTCTTGAAAATCGAATGGGAAATTTGAACTCATTGCATTTTAATAAATTTTCTATGATAAGAAAAAAACAACTAATTTTTAATGCAAGCAAAATTGCTACTTGTCTTTTATACACATTATGATGATGTAAAACTGCTTTGGCTGTGGAGATCAGATACATAAACAAATATTGTACAAATCATGGCATACAACACTATCTGGGACATTTGGTTAGTTTTCTGAGGATTATAACCTTCTTCTGCAGTAACTATTGCAACACGACTATACAGAGAACATAAGAGAGACTAACATTGGGGAACATATTAATAAACTAAGCTAATAGCATTCAGCAGTAACACAAAGTCAAGTATAAGCAGGTTCAGTGGCACATCAAGCAGTGGTTTCACTGGATCTGAAATCATAGAACAATTTGATAATGTATAGTGTGGGACAACAAGCAACATTCACTTTAAATGATCAGGAAATTTAACATGTGTAGGATTCAAACAATGGAAAAAATTAATTTGTCAGCGTTTGCTAAATGAAATCAATATATTTCATTTTTAAAATCTCTCTCAGTATGGTGAAGATTGCAAGGGTTTAACTAAAATCAATAATAAGCCAACCTGAAGAATTTGATATGCCCAGAAAAATGTTTATTTGTTAAAAACCCAGTAACTTTGTTAAAAACCCAGTAACTTTGTTAAAAACCCTGCCAGATAAAATTTGAGTAATTATCTAAGAAAGAAAGTGGTCGAGAAATAAAGAGACATTCAGTTTCTAAAAACATAATCAGCACAATACCAAAGACAACAGAAGTCTAGAAATATTCAAATAATAAGAACTCAATTTATTTGAGTTAAACTATGTAACACATAGCTTGTAACACATAGCTAAAGGACTACATTTTCAATGTTTAAAAATAAATCATCTGGTGCTTCACAACAACTACAACATACCAAAGCATTAGAGAAAATCATATCTTTCATGCGATTCATGGAAATAAGGCACACATTTTGTCCTTTGCTCAAAAATATAATAAATGTCAGTTTTATAAATTAATTTTTTTAAAAACATTACATTTTGCCAGTTCACACAAAATAGCATATAATATAAGATAAGATAGTATTTCAGGCAGATTGTGTTAAGCAGACCAACATGGGTTGAAACATTTATTTTAGATTTACTTCATCATTTCCTGTGACATATTAGGCTATATTATAATTAAGACAAAAGAAATATGAAACTTCATGAACATTCAGTCACATCAGAATTTATTGAAGTCAAGGTAGGTAAGAATCCTGTGCATGTAGCAGAATGGGACTATTAACCTAGTTAGTTTGCTGTACTCCTCAGCACAAAATAAGTTTGAAATCCTTTGTTTGTTAAGTGGACTTTTGACATTTTTAATTGGGCAATTTTAAATATTGCTGGTCACCATGACGTCACACATTTAAAACTTGACAGTCACCATGATGTTAAAGATTTAAAATCTGAAAGTCATCATGATGAATGGATTAGATGTTTAAAAGCTTGTAGAAGTGTAAGATTAAAGGGAAAGAGCAAAAGCATTCTTTACATCCTCTCTTAATTATCAGAAATGCACAGATAACAACTGTTACACATAGACAATCGAGTCCACCAAAAAATTGAGACGCCAATAAATTTAGTTTTTAACTTGTTCTTAATTCAATCAAAGTTAGCACCAAAAAAAAAAGGAGGCAAATAAAAGCTCCAGGACTGCAGTATATTTTGCATGAATTAATGTAGATAAAGTTATGTTGAGAAAAAGGACAAATGATTGACAAGTAACTTGATTCGTGTACATAGAGTTAACATGACTTTCAAATATTTGACAATGATTAAATGATTAAGGGTGAGGCATTAGACAAGACTGATATCTCAAAGAGTGTTTTCCTCCCAAGTAAAAGTTGTGACTTACTCTGAGTCAGATGAGATGCTGCCGTTATGAGTAAGGACCTGAACTGTGCTGCCTGGGAGACGTGGGCTGTTGGGCATGTAGGGCAGGCTGTCAGTTCTTAATGGATCCAAGTAAAAGTTGTGACTTACTCTGAGTCAGATGAGATGCTGCCGTTATGAGTAAGGACCTGAACTGTGCTGCCTGGGAGACGTGGGCTGTTGGGCATGTAGGGCAGGCTGTCAGTTCTTAATGGAGGTAAAACAGGGCGATCTGTGGGGAAACACATACAAACAAATGTTAACACTTACATAACCAGTTCTAGCTATTACACCAGGAAGGAAATAAGCTTGATAATTAATTTAAAACTGAATTGGTACATCAGCTTTTACATACAGTTTGCTGATTCACATTGAATGATGGTGGATGGCAATTGTTACACATTGAAAGATGGTGAATAGTAACACTATAGAATTTTATAAGTACAAACAAAAGATATGATCATGATAAAGAAAACTTTCTAGCTTGACTGTTGCAAAGCTGATAATGTCACATCTGGTGGG